CCGCCCTGCCTGCCTTCTACCCACCACTCCCGAGCTGGATTGGTGGTCACGGACAACTGCAAAAATGCCTGGGAGGGCTTTAGCCTTTACCTTCGCTCAAAATTGTCTTTCATGCTCAGGGAGTAGGTAATTGCTATACTCTTAGCATGTAGAGATGTTTTGTCTATAATAGTGTACAGGAAATCTCTTAATTCTCCGAATTTTGGAGAACTTGGTGCTCGGGCCCGGGCATGGCCTTGCACCTGGTTTGGAACGCAGGGCGGTAAATCATTTTGCCTCTTTGTGGCCAAGATGTTTGCCACTGGAGCGTGTGATGGGCTCCCGCCCTGCCGGCCGCATCCCTTTTATCCCTCTGCCTTTAATGTGGTTCTGGCCTCGCCAGTTGGCCTCTCCATGGAAAAGGAGCAAGAGGTTAATTGCTTTTTGTCAGTATTTCTCTGCGAGAATGGAAAGGTTTTGCAAGCATTGGAAGTAGATGTTTTTTGCCTCCTTAAAACAGCAGTCAGCTCACTAAGGACATTAAGGAGCTATTTGGCTCCTGGCAGTATAGCTGCAGGGTGGGAAGGTAGAGACCCATGGTCTCCAGGCAGAAGCTGCTCCTTTGATCGTTCACCCAGTCACTCGATATATACTCAGCTCTGACTGGTGCAGGGCAGCGTGCTAGAAGCTGCGAGGAGGACCAAGATGAACTGAACTTAGATTTGCCTGCAGGGCACTTGACTGGCTAAGAGGAGAGAGAATCCCAACAGAAGTAGCCCTACCCAGGATAAAGAGAATGTGTCCTCAAGAGAGGGCACTCAGTGGACAGACAGGAAATCTGCCTTTCATCCTGCTTGGTGTTAGGAGAAAATTAAGCCCCAAATAACATGCTGTTGAGTGACCAACTGCTGAGCTTCAGCTCTGAAGGAAGGGTGTTTTCCTGTCTGTTGACCAAATGGCTCCTGTCCTCTCCGGCCAGCTCCCCTCTCCCCACCATACACCTCTGTGTAAAAGAATAGTTTCAGGGTTCTCCACTCCTGCCTCTCCTGATGGACCTTCCCAGCCAGAGGCCAAGGGCTGTGTCATTTCTGATTTGTCCCCACATCCAGGCCTGTTGATTCTGCCTCTTGAACCTGAGTCCACTCACCTTGTTCTACCCTCATTGCCAGCTCGCTAGGCGAGGCTCCCACCTTCAGCTAAGCTCTTGCTCAGTTCATCACAGCCATGTCCCAGTTTCTCATCTGCCCTGCTCTAATTCATCTCCCACTACTGCAGCCAGGATGCAGTCGCTGGAATTCAAGTCTGAGTGTGAGGCTAACCTCACTAATCCCTTGCTGTCCTTAGGACAGAAGCCAGGCTCCTGTTCAAACGAGGACTCACCTGTGTGTGCAGCCCTGGGTTTCTCACCTGGCCCTCTCTTGCCGACCCCCTGGATTTGTTTTCATTTGGAGGAGTGCCCTGCTTTCTTTCTCATGCCGAGAGGCTGTGTGCACTGCTTCTTCCTGGCACACAGCTTTACTCAGCCTAGTCCTGCTTTCCTGAGCATCCTCTCTTGGGCATCTCATGAGGCTCATTCACATCTGCCTCCTCCTGCTGCTGCACCCTACATGGGTCCTAAGACCAAGGCCAGGTGTGAGGGCTTTTCTTGGCTTTTTACTGCATTGACAAAGAAGATGCTCAGTAAATGTCATTGAATGGAAATGAGTTTAAATGTAAGCTGTGATATGGTGTGATTCATTGAATGTCTGACTCACAAATTCACCCTACTTCTGTTTTCTCAGTGTGCTGAAATAGAAATGACCTGACCTACACCAAGCCTAAATATAGGTGAAAGAGAAGGTAGTTATTATTATTGGAGCAGTGGGCATATGTGAGACTTGCCTGCCTCTGAAATCTTGGCTCTGCTGTGTGACCTTGGTGCATTGCCTGCCTTCTCTGTGCCTCAGTTTCATCACCTAGAGAGTGGGGATAGCAAAGGTAGCACTTATTTTGCAGTGTCACGAGGTAGTAATTATGAGATGATACATACAAGGCCTTAGAATGGCACCTATCTCCTGGTAATTGCTCAAACACGTTATCATCCTCATTATTATTATAACTACTTGTTTATCGAACATCCAGTCAACAGTGATGTTGAATCCCGGTCCTTCCTACACATTAGGTCCCTCATTGCCACCTCTTGGGTATAGATGAGTTCTCCTGTGTTCTTCCTATTCTCAGAATTCCCCTCCTCCTCAGACCTTCCTCATAGGAAGTTGTCCCTGACTCCTTGAGGTGAGCTCAGTACTTCTTTTCTGTTCTGAGTCAATTCATTACTAGTTACCACAGGGAATAAAAGCCTGGTTAACCTAACTGATAAGCAATGAGAAAATTGAAAAAATACACAAGAGGGCCACGGATTTAGCTCAGTGGTTCCAATACCTGCCTCACAAGTACAAGGACCCGAGTTCAATCCCCGGTACCAAAAAAAGAAAAAATACACAAGAAATCTCATATACACCATTCCTCGTATTTACAAAGATAATTTTCCCATGGAAGAAATAGAGATGTTAGAAAGTTAAGATATTAGAGTACCACTAGAAATCTTGGGCTTTAAAAGGCTGCAAGGAACCGGCCTGGTGGCACACACCTGTAGTCCCAGCACTTGGGAGGCTGAGGCAGAAGAATCACCACAAGTTCAAGGCCAGCCTGAACTACATAGTAAGATTATCTCAAAAACAAAACAAAAAGACTGCAAGGAACTTTAGATTAGTCTCTTTTCCTCACTTTGGAGGGACATGGTGATAGAAGGGGGTGGCCTGAGGAGCAACATCCAGTGGCCACTTCCCTGGCCTGTGGCCGACAAACTGCTGCATCATAAAGTCCAAGGCAGGAGTTGAATGGGACTTCTTACTAGGGATTAGCCTGCTGCTGTGACACACACAGTAGGATTCACTGCCATTCAATTAACTCATTGCTAGGACTTCATTACATTTTTTCAGTGATTGCCATTAAGTGTGAATGTCTGTGTCACCACAGAAGAGCTGCAAGCAATGGAGCAAATGACAAAGCAAATGTTTAAAGTGAATCTCTGCTTTGGTCTCTGAACATCCATGTTACCCCTTTTTTGTCCTCCAGTGAGGACAGAATGGAAGGATGAATATCTGCACAAATATGGAAGAATTATAAGATGGAGTGGTGGAAGTCAGGGAATTTAGAGGAGGACGAAGCCATTTGCCCCAAACTGGTCTGCCGGAGCAGGCTGGAGTGCCAAGGAGAAGGGGAGAAGTTTTAGAGGGCAGGGGTGCAGAGGGTAGCAGAGATTCTGTAAGGTGGAGGGGAAGAAGACATCACAGGCACAGAAGTGCAGAGTGAAGATGGTAGTGTTAGGGTCCGGGGTCCAGGGAGGAGGAGACCCAGCCAACCAGGGCAGAAGTCTGAGGTGAGCGCAGCACCTCTTTTCCGATCTTCTGAGTCAGTTCGTGACCAGCTACTACAGGGAATGAATGCCTGGTTAACCTGACTGATGAACAGTTGCCTGAGTGTGAGAAGGATGGGAGGACAGTGGCTAAATGTTGGGAGAGGTGAAGGTTGAGCCTCCCTTTTTTTAGTAGAGCAGAGAAGTTGATTTCTGTAATTCTGTGGGGTACCTATCACCTTTATGTACACTGCTTTTATTCTGTGTATTTGTTCCTTTCCCCTTGCTTTAGAACTGCTGCCTCACCCATGGACCTGATCGGTTTTGGTTATGCAGCCCTTGTGACGTTTGGAAGCATTTTAAGATATAAGCGGGGAGGTAAGCCTTAAACAGCATTTTCTTCAAAGGGAGCTTGTGGGCAGTTGGTAGTTGTGCTAGGATCATCTGAGGGTCTGTAAGTGGGACAAGAGGCCAGAGATACGTTAGAGATGACTGAAGACCAGCTTGTCATGGAAGGGGTTTGTGGAGGGAAGGGGTTTTGTTGGGCTGAGCGTGATAGAGCCTTCCAACCTGGGGCTTCTGCGCCTCCGTCTGCCATAAGACTAATTTAACCTGCCATTATGAATTGCACAATTAATTGATTTAATCTTCTTTAGGGCCACTCATTTCTTACTAAATAAGAATTGTTTTGTTTACATAATGTGTAAAAGTACTGACTTACGCTGATACTGTGGGTCAATACAGTTCTTAGAAATTACATCCAAAGTTGTCTTTGTATCTAAAAGAAGAGAAAAAACCCTAATTGATTACTTGAAAGATTTATGGAAAAAAAATGCAAGGTCAAGATTTTATACTTTACTTGGTTTTAAGGTAGATGCCTTTATAGTCATGGTACCTCCTGTTTCTGTTTCTTAAATGAAATTTTAAAAAATAAAGATGTATTTCAGTGGGAGTTTTACTTGCGACATTGGTGAATTTGAATTTGAGTGAAAAAGCAGATTACCCAGCTACAAGTTAACTTACTTCCTTAGAGAAGTAAGACTTCAGAACAGGTTGTTGTTCTCTGAGAGTCCCTGCTGCTGTTTGTAATTCACCTTAGAGTTCTGTGTGGTATTCTTCTCTGAGTATGTACATCACTGTGATACATATTGGAAGGACAAACAAGGACAGTACCCAAGGAAGACCTGTAGGTCCTCACAAGATGATGTTTCATAATCTGCTTTAAAGAGCACCCAGTTCAAAATCCTGATAAGATTATTACTGAAAAATATTTTTTTATCAGAGACATGTCTAAATAACTTCTATTACAAACCCAGAAAAGAACAGCTAGATATTTTTGCCTACCTTTTTGAGGGATTTGAGGAAGGTTGTGTGCATGAGTGTGTATGCACACACACATGTGTGTGCATGTGTGCATGTACTGTAATGGTTCTTAAACCTGGTTGAATTTCCCATGGATATTAAAAAAATTAAGATACCTTGGTCCTACCCTCAGAGATTCTAATCTGATAGATTTTAAATAAGATGATTGCTATGAAGTAATGATTGAGTGTCACGTCACTAGCATGTCACTAGCTATGTCATAGTCCAGTGCCGGAGCAGTGCTTAGTATGTGTTGTGGTGTCTGGGGTGGGTGACTTGGGGGCTGACTGGCTGGGTCATGTGCTGGGTCATCCTTTCTCTTGATATGGTCTCTTCTAGTCCTTGAGTCCTGATGAGGCTTGAAGATTTGTTAATTATATGGGACCAAATCCTTCCTTGCTTTGTGCATTGTGCTTTTCTCCTTTTACCTCTGTGAGCTAACAGTACCATCGGATCTCATTGGACATCATCACAACCTCCTAGTAAAAAGATTAAGCCAAAGTGAATAGGGACAAACAGAAAGTAGCATAAAAAAAGTCAATTGATTCCCCAGGATCATGCAGTGGCAAAGCCACTGTCACAAGGCACGGTTCCTTCCTTCTCCCCTGTGATTCCTACCCTCGCCCTGGAGTGTGCTGTGACAGTCCTCTGCTTTGCATTTAGGGCTCAGCATGAAACAGTCATTTCCTAGAAACTTATCTTTTGGTGCTGTCCGGTTCTGATGCCCAACTAGAAATACATTTGGAGGTGCATGCATTACCCTTGAAATGTAAGATGAATTGCTTTTGTTTTGGAACTCTCTTTCTGAGCCCATACTTTCTCCCCACAGGTGGTGTTCCATCTCTGATTGCTGGTCTCTTTGTTGGGTTTTTGGCTGCTTATGGAGCTTACAGGGTATCCAGTGACAAACGAGATGTTAAACTGTCATTGTGTGAGTAACACATTTGCCCACTTATAGAAAATCAGACCTTGAGAAAATGTGTTGTAGATGTTAAGTGGCCATGTGCATGTGCACAACTCTGTTTCTTTCTTTTTTTTTTTTCTTTTCGGTACCGGGGATCAAACTCAGGACCTTTCGCTCAAGAGGCAGGCGCCAGAACCACTGAGCTAAATCCCCGGCCCCCAACTCTGTTTCTTGCTAGACAAAACTGATAAAAAATAGTAGTGCTGCTACTGTGCCTTCCAACTCAATTTTCTATAAAACTTGTTACTAGAAAAATGAAATTAAATTAGAAAAAGCAAGGAATTATTCCTGGACTTCCTACTTATTCTTATAAATATACATTTAGCATAATTTTTACACTGCCAAGAAAATACTGATTCTAAAAAGGTGAACCTATGGCATACATGTTACTTGTTTTTCTTTTTAAAATGAAAGATGTTAACGTATGAATTGTTTTTTCTAAACTAGAAATGCAGTATTCAGGTTTAATTGCTGTGTTGGCATGTTTTGATAAGTAAGTGGGTTTTGGGTTGCAGTTTGGGCACTCATCTCTAAAAGATTTGCCATCACTGCCCTAACCACTTACATAAAACCACCTCCATAGTCCTATTGCTGTAGTTTCTAGAAGGCTAATGCAGTGCTTCTGAATAACATATTATTAGTCTCCAGACATCAAATCCACCCAAAGGGAATGTTACAAAGAAAATATAGCCTTCTTCTCGGTATTAGTTTATAATTTGATCTTACTTTAAAAAAATGTTATTTTCCTTACATTGAATCACCGTTTGTGTGTGTGTGGTACTGGGATTGGACCTAGGGCCTTTTATTGTTTATTTAGAGACAGGGTCTTTTTTTTTTTTTAGTAGTAGTAGTAGTAGCAAAGTTTTATTAAAGGTAAAAAAAGAAACAGGCTCTGCAGTGCAAATTTGGGCTAAGTAAAAGTAGGAAAAGAAGTACACTCTACAGTGTGAGGGTGGGCCACCATGCAAGAGAGAACACAGTGGCCTAGAGACGGGGTCTTGCTAAGTCACTAAATTGCCCCAGCTGGGTTCAAACTCAAGATCCTGTTGCCTCAGCTTCCCAGAGTGCAGGTGTTGATAACGGAAAAGTTTTAGATAATTTAATAGATTGAATATTAAGGTAGTTGTAGAAGCAAAATAAGTAATGTGTTCTTTTAAGATTTGCTTTTCCTGTAACTCCTTGTTCAAGGTGAGGATTATCTGACTCTAACTAGTAACTTCATTAACCTAACAAAGTTACCAAGCCAGGGTGAATGTACAATGTATATGGCCTATCTTGTGTCTGTGACTTGTAAATAGGAACTGGAATTGAATTTACATATCAAAGACCACTAGGGATGAGATAATGGCTAAAAAGGATATAAAAAGGGAAATGCTGAACAAAGGGGGCGCAGATCCGGACCAGACTGGTTTCTGGCATTCCTGTCCACTCGGGAGAAGAAATTTTATTATTTTATCCAAATTCTGTGTCTCTGTGTATTTCTTTCTGAGATTTCTGCAACAGTGTTATAAGCATGCACCACTACACCCAGCTTAAGCATTTCTTGGGTGTCTCTTGTTGCCCAAGTATACCACCTAGTGTTTCTGGGGTTGGTTCAATAAGACATGGTTCTAGCCTTTCAAGAGTGTCCTATGAATAGAAATCAAGGCTAGAAAAAGACTTTTAAGGATATTTCAGGGATGAATTTTAGCATGTTTGTTTTTTCAGAAACTTTTTGACAAGCTAGCTTACAAAGTGTTTTAATGTAGTGCTTTAATGTTGAAGAAAACAGCAACTCAATACTATATAAAAGAGTTATATTGAAAGCTTTGAAAAATGATATGCATTCGTTTCACAAGCAAGAACTGATAGCATGTTTGAAGCTCTGGTTCATGGATTGGCTTGGTTTTCAGTTACAGCTTTCTTCCTGGCCACCATAATGGGTGTGAGATTTAAGAGATCCAAGAAAATCATGCCCGCTGGGCTGGTTGCAGGCTTAAGGTAAGAACTATTTTTATCTACATTCTTCTTCTTCCATTTTGAAGTGCTGATTTTTTTCAGTACCAGGGATCAAACTCAGGACCTTGTGCTTGCAAGGCAGGTGTGGTGCCACTGAGCTAAATCCCCAGCCCAAAGTACTGATTTTTTAAATCAAAAATTAGTTTTAATTTAAAAGGTCAAAGTAATTTTTATCATAATATGCATAGCTAGAAAGACTTATATCAGAGATCAGTGAGTCTTTGGCCTCTGAGTACACACGAACACCCTTACGGGACTCACATAGGTATCTGCATATCTGATCACTTGTCCTCATTTAACTTCTGCAGAATAAAGAGCTACGTTTAGCCTCATTTTTCCTTAAGATTAACTCATCTGAAGAAATAAATACCTTCATAAGTCTCATTTAGAGAGTTGGACAGTGACAGTCTGATGCCGTTATTTTGAGTTTTTAAAGGAGAAAAATTTAATACGTTTTAAAAAGATAAATAGCCTCAAGTTTCTCATATTTTGACCCAATAGTTGTATCTGTGAGATTAAGTACACTATCAAATGTAAAATTGGAGGTAATTTTTTTTTTTGGTACTGGGGATCGAACTTGGGTCCTTAGCTTGCGAGGCAGGCGGTGTGGAACCACTGAGCTAAATCCCAGGCCCTGGAGGTAATATTTTTAATTGATCCTAGAAACTGCCTTTAATATGTTGAAAGCTATAAACTTGTTCATTTTCTTTGATATATATTTTTACTTTTTGGAATTTATTTCAAAGAAATGATATGTACCTAAATACTAATGTTCATTGCAACTTTATTTTTCATGGAAAATATGATAAACTGAAAAATTAGGAGCAGCCTAGAAATGCACTGTAAGGCAATAGTTCAATAAATATTTTTCAGTAGACGTTTGTCCATTTGATGGAATATTGTGCAGATACTTGCATTCCACGTTTTCAAAAACTAGGGGCCTTGGAAAATCTTAATCACATGATGATAAATAAAACAAGATTAAAATCCACCAAATGCAGTGTGTACAGTTCTTTAAAAACCGTTATGTCTGTGTATAGCCAGGCATGGTGGCTCACACCTGTAATCCCAGCAGGGAGGCTGAGTCAGGGGGATAGCTGTGTGTTCAAGGCCAGCCTGAGCTACATAGGGAGGCCCTGTCTCAAAAGAAAAAATAAGTAAATAAAAAATAAAAATGTATGTAAAATAAGATAAAAAGGAAATACTTTAAACTGTTAGTGTCTTTTCTCTGAGTTGTAGCATAGTGAATAATTTTAATATTCTTTCTGTTTCTCTGTAGAATTTTTTTTTTTTTTTGGTACTGGTGATCAAACTTGGGACATTGTGCTTGCAAGGCAGGCAGTGGAACCACTGAGTTAAATCCCCGGCCCCGCTCTGTAGAATTTTTTAATGTGGCTATGTGTTAGGTCTCTAGGAAGAGGAAAAATGTGATTACAAAGGACAGCTTTCCAGTTATAAAAATGATTCTTGGTGTTGAAAAGAATCAGAAGTATGGTTTATTGACTAAGAAGACCCCAAGCAGAGGAAAGTAGCCGAGAGTGTAATAATAACCTTCTTTGGGCCCTCAGTTGTTCCTGGATATTTATTTATAGTGGTACTTAGACTTGAACCCAGGGCCTTTTCATTGAGCTGCATCTCTAGGCCCCTCCCCCCTTTTCAAAACCTTTGTTGAGATGGGGTCTCACTAAGTTGTCCAGCCTGGGCTCCAACTTGGGGTCTTTCTGCTTCAGCCTCCCTTGAGTGCTGGGATTACTGGCCTATCCCCTCACACCCAGCTCCCTGATTCTTTTTTTCAAGTTGCTTTATTTGATTAGCTTTTGAAAGTTGCTGTTTCTTCCCACACATTTCTCTCAGAAGTCCTCATCGCAGGTTTCCAGGACAGCGCGTTCTAATTTCTCTCATTTATTCAGTGAACCTTTTTCAGCTGGGTATGGGCAGGGATGATGGGGTCACTCCTGCTAGGAGAATGGAGGTGAGAGAGAGCCGCAGAAACCATGGCTGGCTTATGACTCCGTGTCCTGTGCGACCCTTCTGTCCAGGCCAGGTAAGAGTGACCCTTCCTTTGCCTTTCTTTTATTTTCATGCAGCCTCTTGATGATCCTCAGACTTGTCCTGCTGCTGCTCTGAGCTTCCAGAGGAGCTGCACACTAAATACTTGTCATTCTCCTGCAGTGGGCAGGGCATATTATCTGTACCTTAAAAGATAAATTCCAGTACAGAATGTTAAGTGTTTTATGTTAGAAACAAAGGTAACGCTATCACCTCTAATCTGAACATGAATCTGACTTTATTTTAAACAGAGTTTTAATTGTTTCTAATTGTCAAGCACTGTTTTCATTAAAGGTATTTAATAAATCATGATACACTTTCATTTGCTATGTCTAATACATATATGTACATCTGTTTATATATATATTATATTTTTGACAATTCTAAATACTCATGACTCAAATAAGTTAAACTGCAAATTATCTGATGAAATAATTCCTTATATGAACTTCACAGAATACTAATGTAGCTGCTACTTGGTGCTTGTGTTTTATTAGAAATTTTATTTTTCCCACTTTAATTGTATATGTTGCCAGTTTTGTCTTGTCTCGAGAAGAATTCCATTCTCAGCACACTCTGCATCCCAACAGGATGTATTCAATATTCAAATAAAAGACATTTTGTTTTAAACCTGTTTCTTTAATTTTGGTGTCTTCTCTGTATATGCAGATCATCTCTGACATGTAAATGTCCGATTATTAATGAAAGGAATTGCGAAAGGGGGTTATTTAATGCAGTACTATACTTCCTCAGGGGCAGATAATCTGTGTGTGTGTGTGTGTGTGTGTGTATCTAGAATAGTAATAATTCTAAGGAGAAAAGATTTTGACTCAAATCACTTCATTTTTAGGTATAGTTACAACTTTTAGTGTGCCACGTAGTTGTAGGCCCAAAATGAACATGAGTCTGAGACCAGTCCAGCTCTCCCACTGGCTCATGGATGCTTTGAAAGATCATTTCTCCCTTTCTCAGAGATTCAGTTTCTCACCCTTATGGAGGACTAATTTGGTCTTCCAAACAACTCAGAGAAGTAAGAACTTTTTTTCTTGGTACTGTGAGACCTAACTAAAGTTTGACTCCATCTTAAATATAAGACAGTAAAGTGGCCTTGACATAAATTCCACTTCACTGAAGTCAACTATTCCCCTAGTCTCCTTTGTGCCCATAAACTAATGATAAAATGTCCTTGCTGTGGGACAACAGATAAAAAAAGAGACACAGCTCCTAACTCAATCCTCTGTCTGCCCAGAAAACAGATGCTCCCGGGCCCATTATCTATAGAACATTCTGTCAATGTGCTGATTGTTCCTTTTTCCCATAAACTCTACATGTAGCCACCCCTCAACCCCCCATGCTTGCTAAATATCAACCAATCATGTAACTGCTAAATGAAACATCCCCAAACCTTGCAGTAGCCACAATAAAAACCCTGCTGATTTGGAATTCGGGGCTCTCAATCCTGATCCGCTGCGTCGGTGACGGTTGAGTGCCCCTGCTCGAGCTTGAATAAACAACCCTCGTGTGTTTACATCGGAATCGGCTCCTTGGTGGTCTTTGGGGACTTTTGTGATCTGGGCACAACAGTACCAGGGATCAAACTGGGGTCCTTGAGCTTGCGAGGCAGGTGGCAGAACCACTGAGCTAAATCCCCAGCCCAAAAATAAATAAATAAATAAATAAGCGAGTTTGAATAGCTAGCACACCACTTTCTTTTGACAAGTTACTCTAGAAACTTCAGTGTCTCCAACTATAAAATGAGAATACTAAAAGAAGGCCTCTGAGACAGGCACAACTGTGGATGCCTCAGTGGGGTTCCCGGTCTCAGGGATCCCGCCCCATCCAGCCCGCAGTGATCCACTGGACCCCCCCCCCCGGCCTCTTGGCTGTACTGCCACCTGGTTCCACACTACAAAGACACAGAGGACACTGGACCACCAGACCACTGTACTGGGTAAGTTGGCGCGATCATCACCTCCCATCGGAACCGGGACTATCTTTAGGGGAAGGGCAGCTGGAACCTGCAGTACAACCCTGCAGAGTTGAACCCTGCAGAAGGACAGGGAGCTCAACTTGGGACTTGCAGCCAGAAATCTGCCTGAATTGCACGGGTCTGTGACTGGCTTGCTGAGACTCATTGACTTACATCTGCACACTGCTACCCACGTTGTCTTTTGTGACAGCAGAGACACACCCTGAAGGAGCCCCTTCATTTTCATTTTTATTTTTCATTTCCAAAATTTAGTAGTATTGGTTTGGGGTTTTTTTTCTCCTCTTATCTTTAATTTTTTTCCTACTCTTTGCAAATTTTTGTTTTTCTCTCCTTTTTTTTCTTTCTTTTCTCTTTCCTTTCTCTCTATCTTACATTCACTCTCTTACTGTCCCACATTGTTTATCTTCCTTTTAGTTCCTGTTCTGGCCCTCATTTGGATTTCTTCTTTATTTTTCTATTATTCTCTTTTTCCTTCTCTCGCCTGTGTCCTCTGGCCTCACTGCTAACCTTCCCCTATCCTTCTACCTATTTATCCGTCCCTCCCCAACTCCTTCTAACTCCCCATCCCAAAGGGTAAAGTTGCTATATTGAAGAGTTTATTCTCTATAAACTGTGAGACCCAACTTAGCAACTTAGCAATACCAGCACCATGTTGAGACTATTCTCCATTTTGCAAATGTGTGATTTCCAGCGGCACTCTTGTCTCCTGGGAGAAAACCCCAACCCTAACGGATGCATGTAACCACAAGGTAAAATAAACAGAAACTGTGTTTCAGATGATCTGCAACAAACCATTACCCAGGGGAATGGGAAAACCCAAACTGTGCTTATCTTGGCTTCTGTAACCAGCTTCTGCAACAATCCGTAACACAAGGAAATGGGAGGAGGGACTTTTTCTGTGGTTTTTCCCTTTAAATATGCAGTCCTCATTTCAGTTGGGGCCTTTGTCCTCCGACATGGTTGGAGTGTACATGGGTCCCAGCCAGAAAATAAAGTGCTCCAGTAAGATCCCAGGACTGTGTCGTGCTTTGAGAGTTCATCACTAATCTAATGTAGGGATGAGGTCCAACATAAACATGTTGGGTTGGTCCTCGATTTTGATTTAATTCACACAGTTAAAGGTGATAGATTAGTAACTACCACAAAATGTTATTTTCTAAGATGTACTTGATGTTATGGTGTAGCTGATTGTGTCACTTGGGCTAAGGTGTTGTTATTGATCTAGTCAGTGATCCTTCCTGGTATAATGAAAATGAGATAGCCTCAGAGTCATTAAAGACTCAAAACTTCAAGACCAGCTATATCTGGAAGACACCTCTGAGAAGTAATCATTCCATAAGGGTTCTAATTACAAGCAACAAAGATACTTACAATAAGCAATTTTGAAGTATCGACACAGGAGTTAAACACTACCAAAAACAAAAATGAGAAGATATTTAAGCAAGGCACAGACTCAGACTTCCACCCTACCAAGGGTAAACCCCAGGGGAAACGAGGTGGAAAAGTCTGATAACCACCTGGACACTCTGAACTGATAGCGCAGGAAGTAACAAAACAGATGAATGAGGCTCTAGAAAAATTCAAAGCAGAAATAATCTCCCAGATATCTATAGAGATGGTGAGCAGAGTGAAAGACATGATTAGAGACTCTAGAACAGAAACACATTAAAAAAAATAGATGAGCTCAGAAACATGCTGGAAGCCATGAATACCCAGCATAAGAAAGAAATGGAAACCGTGATTGTCCAACATAAGAAAGAAATGGAATCCATGAAATAGATTCAAACAGATATTCAGGAGATTAAAAACTCCATTGAAAGTACCCACAGCAGATTAAGGAAATCTGAAGATAGAATATCAGATATAGAAGACAGGATCGTGGTTAAAGACCATGAAAACAGAGATTTCTTAAAAATAGTAAGGGACCACGAGAAATCCA